CCCGGCTGGGCTCCTCCCGTCCCCAGCAGCATGTGGAAAGCCGGCTTTAGCTGCATGCTGCTCTGGATGGGACAGACCCACCCGGGTCAGCACCAGCCAGCAGAGGTGGTGGCAGAGCCATGTGCCACTCGGGACTGACCAGTGCAGGTGTGGGGGGGAAGTGCAGCTGAGCTCCTGCTGCTCCGGCTGGGCTCATCCTGTCCTGAGAGGCAGTCCCGGAAACAGTGTTTATTTTCCTTTCCTGTCACAGCACCGCGGGCCTCAGAAAATGCCTTGGTGGGCTGCATGGCAGCCCGCAGGCCATACAGTGGACAAGCCTGCTTTAGCTAATGGTCTTCTCTCACAAGGCTATAGTTTATAAATTAGCTAAGCATCTTTAAAAAATATATATCTATTATAGCAAAATAACATCTAATACATTTGGTTATACCAATCACTACTACTACTATTTTAAGATAAAGCTATAATATACTATATTTGGATTAATTAATGTATGGTCTTCCCTTATAATGTCTACTTTCAAGCCATGTGCTTTATTGAATTGCACCTCATTACTGGGTTAGTTATACATGTTGATAGCTTCCTTTATTTTGATGACCAAGCTAGTTGTTACATCTGCAAAGGTTCATACTATGGTCACTCAGAAGCAGGCTTTGGGCCCTTTTGCTTAGTCATACTTCTGCAGCTTGGCCCAGATCCCTTGAAAATGGCTATGGCTGGCAACAATATCTCCCATGTCTTTGTTATAAAATGAAACTTGCCCAAAATGGACACCAATTTGAGAGCAGCTATGAAAGGGTTAACAGTGGGCTGTGCCCCTCCTGCTTCCTGGAAGGGACAGAGAAGCTGGCAGTCACCTTGTCACAGCATCTTTATCCTTCTATGCCTCAATGCAGTGAAATTCTGGCAAAGAAAAACTCTACTTAAGACACATGCGCCAGTTTTGGATAGCTGATTTTTTGGGAAAAGGCGAGTGTGATATTTCGAGTAACTATGGTACATATTACTGGCCCTACGGATAGCATCGTTCTGGACAATGCACTTTCTGAGGACCCTTCTCCACACTGTATTTCTACACACCATCCTGGAAACAACATCCCTGTCCCACTGACATCATTGTAAGTTTTGCCACTGGCTTTAGTGGGGCCAGGATTTCATCTTGTATTCTCACAGCCAACATCTGTCATCTCTACAATTTGCTTTGCCTGGGTGAGTGGCCTTTAGAAAGTAAAGAAATGCCCCACTTCCTGGTCAAATCAACATAGATGACATCCATTTTTGTTAAATCTTGCTAACATAAAAGAAGGTGTGTTGGTAGAATTGCGTATTGTAACAGAAAAGACTTAGCAAACAGTTATGATGAGAAGTAATAGCAAACGTACCTCAGGTTCCCTTTGGAATATAACAACCCGACCTCCCTTGTCCCCAGTAGCCAGCAGTTCTCCAGTATGGTTGAACTCAACTGTAGAAATAATATCAGCTGGAGAGAAAAAGTGAGAAAAGACAAACATTAAGCTAATGCTGTAGAGCAAAAACCATTAGAAACATCAAGAGTTCCATAAAAATACCACAAATTATGGATTCACAAGATACACAGAAGAATGCAGTGATAAGGCATTAATTTAAAGGTCTGCCTGCCAGTAAAATAGGACGTAATAGGTACATATATGTATAATAGGCAACTTTGTGATTTCAGACACTGCCTGAAATTTGGGAGAATGGTTATGCTTCAAGAAGTGATCTCAGACTGGTACAATGTTTCTAGCAGTGGGCAAATACCAAAGTGCTTTGCTTCATCTTCTGGTAAGATGCAAGGCTCAGTATAAAGGCCCAGTTCTAAGGAACTGTATGCTCCCTGCTCTCATTGAGGTTTCAAGCACTTTTGTATACACATCATTGCCTCAAGGCTTGTGCATCATGAATGCAAGAAAAACGTGCATGTGGCTAGGCCCTGCACAAGAGCATGAAGGCAGAACAGTGTCTCCTTGTGCACTTTGCCCTCCTTCCATGTCGCAGAACAGTGCCATACCAGAGTTGTTTAGTACATCATTTCAGGACTACAAAAACATATAGTGAGATGTTTTAAAGAGACAAATCCCTCAAGAACAATGTTGTGAGGTTAGACCAAAATCACAAACCCACAAGACAGTCAAGAGTAACAAACAGTGCACAACACAATGAAAGCAGAGAAAAACCAAGCGAAAACGCAAGAAGAACCAACCCATTTATGCAAATAAATGCTAGAATCATAATCCACAGTTAATCCTTTATTATTAGCAGAATTTAAATTACAATGCCTAGTGTGATGGCAAATCAGGAAGACATCTTACATGCAGAGTCATAGACAAATATAGGGTATTGCTGACATATTGCCCATGTCGGTTTACTATAATTATCAACATTTGGTGATGAACAGTCTGGGCCAGATTTTAAGACAAGTTCAATACTCAGCTGCTCCCATTTAGGAGCCTAAAGAAGAAGCCAGATTTTTAAACCTGCTCAGTATCCATCAGTTCACATAGAGAACAACAGGAGCCATAGCTGTTCCTGTTTAATAAACCAGATACGAATTGCAGAAACCTTCTACCACCTGTGGGATTCACTATAGGAACTGTCATCCAAAAGGAAGATTCTGGACGTGGAAGGTATGCAATTCAGACTACAGAGAGATGACCTTTGCCTACCATTTCTCCACCATGTCTAAAAAGAAATTCAAGAATACAGACATCATTAAAATTAGGGTGTGTGATTGTTTCTACTTAGAGCTTTCGGCTGGAGGAGACATCTTTTCAGCAAGGCTGTGATTTTTCTTTACAGTTCTATAAAATGTGGCTCCATAAAAGTCCTAGGAGAAGTCTAAAGAAAAATGGACTCATCACATTTCTTTAACAACATATGCAAGAAATGTACCTTTACTCCAACACTAATCTTCACAAATGCACACGCAACTGCAAGGGAATCTAATACATTCCCTAGCACAATTGGCAATTCTTGCCACTTCAAGAACATTTTTAGTATAGCATTCTGCCTGGGAAACAACATTTTGCATCAGGAACCACTGTTTCTCTTGAATACTTTATTGTATCTTCTGAAATGAGTATGGCGCCGTGCCTGAGTATCTATTGAGACTCAAAGCACTTCCTCTTTATCCAAGACAGAAAACTCAAGATTTGTTCCCTAGAAATGAGGGTGGCGATTCAAAACACTGATGTGGTTATTTAATGTGTTGTGTTCACCTGGTGCTTTATTTTTTATGATGATCTACACATTAAAACCAATTGTATTTGGTTGCAACCCAAAGCCTATCAAAGCCAACATCATGTGGTTATACTGGATTTTAAACCAAGGTCTTTGTCAATAACTGTCTGGCCCTCCATGGAGAACAGGGAGAGAGACCCCGCCCAAGAAGTGAGGGTTAAAGGTACTAAGCAAATGTATTTCTGGTGGAAAATGTTCTTTTAACTTTCTTGTCTAAAATTCACTGTTTGACATGAAATTTTCTGACCAGATATTTAGATGTTTCATGCTTTTTCTAAAGGAGGAAATACCTAAGAACTCTTTGCTCTGACCCTGCAAAATTCTTATTGCTATTAATAGCAAGCAAACAGCAACCTGTTTATTTAGAAGATGATATATGCACGTTTTTATCCACTTGGGGCCTTTTCCAATCTTCCAAGCCTCTCAAACAGAATGCCTCTTGATTTGAACTGGAATTGAGATGCATTGAGTGGTCATAGGGTTGGGGATTTTGGCTTTTATATACTGAATAAAACATGGGAAATATATGCATGGAGGGAAGACAAAGGAGTTAAATATAAATAAAAATATAAGTGTGTGTGTGTGGTTTTTTTTTATAAGAGCCAAATACTGATGCCCTATATTAATAAACGCACTTGTTCCTGGATCACTCAAAATGTGCTTTCTTATTTTGTCCTTTGACACAAAGATTCTCAAGCACTTGCTTACGCATTAACACACTGTACAATACACAGGACCCAAGCCAATGCCTACTGAAGTCAACACAAGTGTTTTCACTGAATTAAACTAAAATTAGATCAGGAAGGAAACAATGCCACATACTGTTGCTACAGTACCTTAGGTAAATTAGGTATCCATTGCCTTAACAAAGATTTGAAATGGTAGCAGCTAAAAAGAGTTATTACCAACAAATAAATATTGAGTCCTCTCTGATTATAACATTCTTAGGTAAAAACCATTCTCTCTCAGGTGGTCTAGGTGAAACTTCTCTTACTTGCAGCACTAATCATGAATTAGAAATAGATTTTAAAAATTAAGTTGTTCTAGAAAAGAGCAGAGCAAATTCTCCATCATCTTATTTTATGAAGCACGTTGGTAAAAAAACAAAACAAAAACACTCCCCTCACCCTTGAATTGGAAAATCGCTTTTATTGATCCAATGAATAAAGAGCTGAAGATAGTCACCAAAAAAAATCTTATACAACATATCTGGCCAGCAGGCAAGCATTAGTCATGCTGCTTTAATAAAGATTAGCCAGCTTGGCTCTTTCTAAAGGGGGAATAGGATTGATCAGAAGAGTCTTTCATGCACTTCCAAATAATTCTTTCTGGAACATTCCCATTCATCAGTGCTTTGGAAACACCACCTACTGTAGTAATGTCTTGTATGAACTCTTACTCTGGAAGACTCTTACTGCAATGTACAGTGTGGCTAAGTGCCAGGTTCCCGTTTCAGAATATGTAAATGCTCCATGCTGGAAGAGAGTTGATTTGCTCATGTACAGTAAGCTGAGTACAAGGGATGGCTGAGATAAAAGCCCTCCCCTGCCTCCTTGTTCAAAAGCATGCCTTTCACATCTCTCCCGGCAGTGCCACGCTTCCCACTAACACAATCAGGATTATCAGAGACAGGGAGAATTCACTAGGCAATGAACATTGATGGTGGCTTCAATAGCCACTGGGCAGATTGTAAATCCCAGCTTTCATTTAAATATAAAGCTGCCCATTGCATCTATAAATTCATTCATTTTATGTTGCTCTTTTGCTCGTAAAAAAATGAACTGGCCTACAAAGCAGTATTTTAAAGCTGAAGAGCTGATTATGTTTAATCAAGTAAAAATAGCTATAAATTGGATGCTCCAGATACTCTTGTTTCTAATTAAGTCTTCATAGGACATCATTAACTAAAGATAGAAAAGGTCTACCTGGTCATCTACTCCACAGCCAGCCAAAGCAGGATTGTTTCAACTAGTCCTGGGCAGCTAGCGCTTTCATCAGTCTAATATTAAAGATTTCCACTGCCTTGGAAAAACTTTCTCCAGCCTAAACCCTCCATCAAGGAGTTCTCCTGATTCAACCAAAAGCATTCCTTTCAAACCATTACTCCTAGTTACACGTGCCATTTTGGGAACAGAGAACTGGAAGGGGCCCCCAGGCCATCGAGTCCAGTCCCCTTTATTTATGGGTAACTGTCTATCCAGAATTCTAAAAATTATCCACTCCAAACCCTCCCGTATGCCACAGCAACATAAACACAAAAACAACCCCCTAAGGCATACTACAGATCAAATGCAGAGAGGGTCACTGTCTATGTCCTGCCACTGCAGTGGCAAAGAAGTATTTTGGTTAGTATCTGATCAGAGACTCCTAGGAAGAGAACCATACCTCACGCTACAGAAGAAGGCAAGCTGAATTGGGAGAAAAAAATCCTTCCTTACTCCAGATCTGGTAAGTGGTTTAATCTTGATTGCTTTTGCATCTCCTGAACTAATTCCTCTGCAGATCACCACTGAAGCTTTTAAAATGTTTTATTCAGTTAAATTGTTCCTTCATAGCTAGTGCTTAGTTACCTTATGCATGTTCAGCACTTTTAGGCCAGTAAAATGCTTTTACCTGTATGAGTGATTGCAAGCCGGACTATACCTGTAACAGTACAGAAGTTTGGCACACAGGGTGCCTACACACAAGTGCCGAGGCAGCTCCGATGCACTGGAATTCCAGCACGTTAGCGCAGACGCGATTAATCAAGTCTGCTGGAGCATGACAACTGTTGCGTTCCAGTGGCCTCCTGCATCTTGTGTATCAGCATCACTATGCTTAAAAATGATGGCAGTGGCACTTGAATGAACTTTAATTCAAGTGCCTCCACCACCATTTTTAAGCATAGGGATGGTGATACGCAAGACACAGCAGAGCTCTAATTAGAGTGGTTCTCGGAGCCGCTCTAATTAAAGCACTGCCCCCTTCCCACTCCCCCACCACCACCACCATCCCCAGACCATGTGTAAAAGTGCCCACAGAGACTGGTTTAAAAATGGTGAAATCCAGCCTAAGATTTGTCCCCCCAACCACCAATGGGTAAATGTGTGTTCTGTTCACTGCTGATTTCAACTATGCTGCTTAAAAAATCCACATAACTTAGGTCAATTCCACCTAGGGCTTTTTGAATGTTTGTACCTAGCCAAAATGTGCCTTGATGAGTGAGTGCCAGACAAACTTCTA